TGCCTTGTGAGGTTATAAATATTATATATTTTGTTCACCATGGTAAAAATACTACCTAGAAAACTTAAGATACTCACTGATGATTAAAATATTATTCATTTATAAAGATAATAATACTGACAATGATGATAGTAGTTTGAATTAGAATTAAGATCCTCCTGATAATTCTATAAATATTCTAAAATTTATCATCTGAAAAAACAGAAGCTCAAGGCACTTAAGAGCAATCAAGGCAACCAGGAGAGAGCCAATACCTTAGAAAGTAGAGTTTGATGCTGATGTGAACCATATATTTCCCTCAGGAAAATGTTCCTTCAGTAAAGTTTGAAATTTATTAACAGGAAAGAAATGCCAAACATAAATTTGAGGACTGTTTGGAGAGTTTCACTGGAATAAAGTGAAAATGTTGAAGTGTACAAATACTAAAGCAGTGAATAGTGAAGGACCAAGATCCCAGAGTTGAGCGAACTAAAGAAATATGAGCTCAAAGTCATGTCTACAACTTCCCTTCATGTTTTCTAATTCCAAGTAGTAAATGTGCACACAAGATGCTGAAAAGCACAGCACAACAGCCACAACTGGATACTAAAGAACTAAGAAGACATTTTCAATCATTTGGTGGAGTAGAGAAAGGGATTGGAATTCAGGGATAAACAAGGTGAAAGAAACCTGATATATACCCCAGGTTTTCAGATGAAACACCCAACTGTTTTAAATTTAAGAGAAACAAGAAATAGAACAGCCATACCAAAACAAACAAACAACAACAACAACAAAAAAAAAACTTAAGAAATAGCCTCACAAGGATCTCTGCTCACACAACAACTGCTTTTCAGAATAAAATTAAATCTTCTTTAGAGAAAGAAAAAAACATCTTTACATAGATAAAGTCTGGTACATAACCAAAGATTAAATGCATAGAAAGAAGATGAACTGACTAAACATCCAAGAGATAAATAGCCAATAGAAACAAACCTATAAGTGATCCAGGCATTTCATTAATTGAGAAACTTTCAAAAATACCACACTTGAAATGTTCAAGAAAATATATATAAGATGATATAAAACTTCAAGTTGATTTAAATAAAAGGATCAAATAGAAATTGTAGAACTAAACAAAAGAAATGAAGACTTCAGGAGATATACTAAAAATGATTAGATAAAGCAGGAGAGATAGTCAGTGAACTCTAAGATAGGTCAATAGAAACAACAAAATTAAAACACAAAATGTTTCAGGACATTGAAAATAAAAAGTCACAGGCAACAGAAACAAAACTAGACATATGGGATTGCACAAAATGTTTGTATTTCTACACAGTAGAGCAGTAGAGGAAACAATTAATGAAACAAAGGATCAAACAACATAAGAGAAAATACTTAAAAACTATACATCTGATAAGGAGTTAGTATTTAAAATATATGAAAAACTAAAAAAAACTGATTTTTAAAAAATGGATCAAGTATGTGAATAGACATTTCTCAAAAGAAGACAAAGATCAACAGGTTTATGATAAAATGTTCAACATCACTATCTTCAGGGAAATCAAGTTAAAATTACAATGATACATCACCTCACAACTATTAGAATGACTATTATTAAGAAGACAAAGATAGCAAGAGTTGTTAAGTATGCAGATGAAAAGGAACTGTCTAATACTGTTGGTGGAGAGGTAAATTATTACCAGTCACTAAAGGAAACCCTATGGAGTCTCCTCAAAAATTTTAAATAGAACTACCAAGTTACCAAACAATCCCACTTCTGGGATCTACCTAAATGAAATCAATATGTTAAGATAACTGTACTCCCATGTTTATTGCAGCATTACTCATAATCATTAAGACATGAAATCAACCTAAATATCTGTCTGTGAATGGATAAGGTCACAAACATATACAAGTGGATATTATTCAGTCACAAATATAAAGAAATTATGCCATTTGCAACAAGATAAATGAACATGGAGAACATTATGCTCAGTGAAATAAGCCAGGCACAGAAAGACAAATACCATATGATCTTACTTATATATGGGGTATCTGAAAAAGCTAATATCATAATAGAGAGTATAATGGTGGTCCCAAAGACTGCAATGGTTTGGGGGAAGCAGAGGAGACACTTTTCAACCCCATGTGTAAGGCCAATACAACCTTTACACAAAAATGCAAAGATATAACTAAGCAAGAAATGAAATTTATAGTCTCAACATCTTGAATTCAAATGAAAAAATCATAAACAAAATATTAGCAAGTCAAATCTACTGGTATGTTAAAAAGAAAATGTATTATAGCCAAATTAGTTTATTCTAGGAAGACAAGGTTTAGTGTTAGAAATTAATCAGTTATATGTATAGAAAGTATTTGATATATATATATATATATATATATATATATATATATATATATATATATATATATATCCCAAAAAACATATATAGGATCATCATCACCATTAACAGCAGCAGCAGCAGCAGCAGCATTATCATCATCATCTTGCCTTTGAACATGCTAAGGAATAACCTCCTTAACCCATAGTTTCTATGAGACCTACAGGAACCTTCTCATTTATTGGGGAGTATTTAAACTTTCATCCTGAAACCAGGAAGTAGAAAAGAATGTTTGTAATGACCATCACTATGCAAATTGTACTTGAGGTAATAATCAGGACAAGGCAATAAGAAAAACAACTTATAAAAAATTTAAAAAAAAAGGAAAAAGAAAAAGAACTATCATTATCCATAGGTGACATGATTAGATACATGGAATATTTAATAGAATTGACAATCTATTAAACATAATAAGCAATTTCAGCAAAGTAGCTGCATACACAATCAATAAAATAAAAATAAAGATATAATGCATTTCTATATGCTAATCAAGCATGATATCAGCAAACACCAAATAGCTAGGAATAAATCTATAAAAATGTACAACACCACTATGAAAAAACCCTTCATAGTTTCTTGATATTGTGCATATTTCAAAAATCCCTCTATATTATTTTTTAATCAGTATGACAATTTCAGAAAGAATAGAAATTGGCTTCTCAATAATACAAGTCATTATGTATAATGGTTTCCATATTGAAGTTCATTGTAAACAAATTCTGTTCAGTGAAGAAAGCAGGCATAAATTAATTCATCTCTTCAAAATCAAGGTAAATTAAATTTAGTTCTGAAGAACATCAGAAAGAAATTTACAAAGGCAAATAAACTACAAGGATTTTTCATGAAAGGTGTAGGGTGATTTAAAAGCATTTTAATTATTTTCAAGATAGCTAGTTGTTGTTTTTTTACTGAATATAAATAAAAATAAATTTTCCCACAGAAAAATAATTGACTTTATAAGGGAATTTTCAGAAACAATTTAATTCCTTTGAGTATTTGAGATTTGAAGACAAAATAATGTGAAATAGTTGTAAATTTTAAAATTATTTTACCTACACATCAATTAAAAAATAGTTATCTTGGCATTTCTAGAGACATACTGATTAGCAGCATGCTCTGAAAGGTGATTTTGTATACTAAAAGAATAATGTTGACTTTTAAAAGGCTTCCTTTTGATTAAGATATGATTATGTATAGTTAAGAAAACAATTCAGATGTGAGCAATAGTGTTATATAAATAATAGCTTCATCTTAGTCTTTTTATTAATTCTTTTTTTAAACTATAGATGGACACAACACCTTTATTTATTTATTTATTTTTATGTGGTGCTGAGAATCAAACCCAGTATCTCATACATGCTAGGCAAGTGCTCTACCATTGAGTTAAACTGCAATCCCTTGTCTTAGACTTACTGATACAATATTAATGAATTCATAATTCAATATTACAGTGAAATTTGGAGACACTTGATAAATTATGTCTGACAAACAGAGAAAATACATAAAATAGATTTAACTTTTCTGACTGAATTTAAAAGAAAATATCGTATTACTGAATGTCAAAATTCTCATGATATGTGTGTTTGGGTGTGTGTGTGTGTGTGTGTGTGTGTGTGTGTGTATATATATATATATATATATATATATATATATATATATATATATATATAAAATTATATTTAACTCCTAGAGTTATTCACTGGATACTGGTTCCAAGACCCCAGTGGATACCTGAAACCGTGTATTGTACAAAACCCAATAGATGATATAGACAACATTGTCAGCATCACTCACTGGTTTTATAGTCCAATTCCAGGCGTAATGCTAATAAAGAATTACTTGAACAAAAGCACTATGATGCTGAAAAAGTGATCTGTTAACTGTGATATCTACTAAGAAGCTAGTGGGTAGGTAGTATATACAGTGTGGATACTGTGGAGAAGAAGATGATTCATGTCCTGAGACAAAGAGATGATTCATGTCCTGGAAGGATGAATGGCCATATGAAATTTTATCACACTACTCAGGACTGTGCACAGTTTCAAACTAATAAATTATTTATTTCTGGAATTTTCCATTTAATATTTTAGACCATGAATACAGGAAAGACTTACGTACTTTTTAAATGAAGTATTAAGTTAATGAAATACAACAAAAACAAAAACAAAACAAACCAGAATCTTTTCCAGTTCAAAGAAAACTTAAGAAAAATAACAACTAAATGTAACTTGTCTTCATTGATCTGAATAAAAATGGGACATTAGTGGGATTACTGGAAAATATGAATAAAGTAAACTGGATCACAGTAATGCAGCAATGTTAATTCCAAAATCGGTAACTTTACTGTAGTTACATAAGACATTAGCTTCTGGAGAATCTGGTTCAAATGGTACAAGGTAATATTGTAACCATTCTATGACCACCTCTAAACATTGTACAAGGTTATAGGGCAAATGAAGACAATGTTAGGAAAAGCATACTGACACAAGTGTTACTTTGGAAAAAGAAACTATAACATAACATTACTAGGATAAATACCTTAGAGACTGGTATACATCAAAATAGTGTACAGGTAATATTATAAGATAAATATTGTTTGTTGGAGTTGGTACTTACTTCATCAAATGTAAAATCCTCTAAATCTATTTCTTCATATTCTTCTTCAGATTCTTCATTTTTGATAGCCTCTAGAGCTGTTGTCAGTTTCTTTCGCAAAATAAAGCCCTTCCAAACTGCCTAAACAAAAATTTAAACTATGTTATACAAGGTTATAGATCAAACCCCAAACCAGATTCTCTGTGTTATCCCATTAGAAAGATAAAACATCTTAGAACTTAGTTTAATGGCTCAATAATCTGCTTTTTGAACTTTATGTGACACTTAAAACTGTAAGATAAATTAAACGACTGCATGTGTCTGAATCTCAGGAGATTTTCTTTGTGGTAAGCAGAAAAGAATCTTTAAAACTCCCTCAACTGCACATGTAGGTCAACCAATCAATTATCTGACAATTCCTCTAGGACTCATTCTAAACTAAGAAGAAAGAGATGCAAAGAAAACCAATTTTGCTGATTTTCAAATAATTGTGTATAAAATAAGCCAAAGCATATTTAGGAAAACTTCAACATATACAAACGCCCCATAACAATTAATTAATTTCATTTTAAAATAAAGTCATCACAATGAAACTAAAAATATTCAGATTACTTAATAATCTTGGAGCCGGGATGCTTTTCAAACTATACATCTAAGTATAATGAAGCTTTAGTATCTGTATATAAACATATATAGATATATACATATGTTTATATACTGCATATGAGTTTCAGAATATATTAAGTATAAAATCCAGGCAAGAAATAATTATGGTTTATTTTTCATACGACTGTTTATGAAAAAATGTATGTAAATATATTATAAACATACACATCAAATAAACATATTGAAGTATAATGCTGGCTTACATTTAAAATTAAAAGTATAAATTATAAAATTTATTTTTAATATGGTTACATACAAAAGCAGAAAACTAGGTAGAAGGCAATAGAAACTTGACTTCTCTAAATATTCTTGGATTTGGCTTCGGAACTATGTACATGCACACTCTGAATAAATAGCTGGTTTGTCCCATTTCTATGGTCTTTGTTTATTTCTACTTTATATGTATGTATAAACCCACTCCCCTACCTCTCCTCCCTCCACACTCCATGGAGGGGGTGGGGAGTGAAACAGAGAAAAAAAGAGCAATTGTGTTAGTAGGAACCAAGAGTTTATAAAGAAAAATTGCAAATGTAAAACTTAAATAAATATCATATAGTCCCAAATGTAATTTTAAAAAAACCTGTATGAAACATGGTAAGTTTTTTTCCTTAAAAAATTATTTTCAGTGGGGCTGGAATTGTAGCTCAGTGGTAGAGTGCTTGCCTCATATGTGTGAGGCTCTGGGTTTGATCCTTAGCACCACATAAAAATAAAATAAAGATATTGTGTCCACCTATAACTAAAAAATAAATATTAAAAATGTGTTTTCAAGCTCAGCACATTGAAAACAAATCTAAAAATAATAAGCATATCTACAGCAATTTATTCTGCTAAAATCCAGATTGGGGTCTCTATATTATTCCCACCAAGCAAACCAAGGATCTTTGAAGAAATTAATGATTGCAAGCCTGGGACAAAATGTCTATTAAGTGAACTTGAAACAATGTATTGTTTGTTATCAAATTATAAAGGAAGTAAAAATTTTAGACTACTGAATTGTATCAAAAAGGTTAACTTGAAGAAACACATTAGCCAAATAAGAAACAATTTGTGCATTAAAAAGAATAAATGCAATGGAAATATATACATTAATGTACAAGATTATAAGGCAAATGAAGACAATGTTAGGAAAGCATACTGACTCAAGTGTTACTTGGGAAGAAGAAACTAAAAATAAATAATTAATGAATTCATTATAATAATATGCATTATGGTAACCTCTGGAAGATGCTAGGAAACCTCACTGAACTAAAAATTGACAATTAAGGGAGAGTATCAAGCATTTAACCTGCCTTTCCAGGATGAACTGTGTAACCCAGAGTATCTAAAGAATTAATTAGAAAAAAATTTCCTGTATAGACATGTTTTAGCTAATAAACGAAGTAGCAAAAATGTACAGAATCATAATTTTACAGATCAATAATAAAATAGTTGGCATAGGCAACTAATATACTGAAAAGGAAGCCACCGGACATTAAGTACTTTGTTGTAACACATACCACCATCTACAGAGTATCTTTGCTGAAAATAAACAAATCTGAATCAGGTCGAATGTTAGATCTTGCTGTAGATTTACAAAAACAAATGAGCATGAGACATATTAAATGCACTGGGAACACATTGTGCGAAATTAGAGGAAGTACAAATCTATAAAGGACAAATGATCTGGCTTTTTCAGTGAATGAACCTTAAGGAAAAGAAGGGAATCGCTCTGTGTTAAACTATAAGAATCATGTAAACCAAAGGCAAAGTGTTGAATTTGCTTATATTTTGATTAAGAAAATATTGTAAACTAACATTTGTAAAATTGGATAGGAAGTCTGAATATTGATATGATATTTGGAGATACTGAAAACTAATCATCACATTTTAGCAATATATTACAGGTATATAGAGAGCAATAGGTCATACAGAAGGTAATAAAGAAATATTCATGACAGTGTGTTTTTTTGTCACAAAATCTAGTGATGAGGAAGGAGAGATATGTTAGGTTTTAAAAGAGTCAATATTGGCTGGTAGTTTAACAATCAATATAATTTCATAAAGTGTAAAACTAAGCTTTTTCTGATAGAACAGTTAGTAAAGTATACCAGAAAAATCTATGGAGGTGGGAATAAAACACAAATGCAATAAGAAAAATATATAGTATGCTTAAAAAATGCCATAGACTAAAACAAATTAGGATTAGGGAGTAGGGAGTATTGGGAAGGGGTGGTTATTTTAAATAAAGTATCCCAGGAACCCCTCATTGTATAGTTAACATTTGAATACAAGCATAGTGGATCTATGAGACACCAACCTAAGGTTCTAAACAGTGAGCAAGATTTCTGTAGATGCCCACAAGTGCCATCTTCCATTCACTTTCATTCTGTGACCAACTTGTCCGTCAAATGTGAATCTGTATACATTTCATTAAGGAACATTTCAAATACATAGAAGAGCCCTGAGTTCCTATGTACCTTCAGTGTCAGTTGAAGGTCTTTTACTACTCAGACAAATCAGAAGCTGTGCTAAATCTGTTATTGCTGTCATTAATTCTCAGGCATGTAATCCTGGGTAGGACATGCAGGCTGCTGATAAAGGCTGACATACAGTGTCTTACAACATCACACTGTATCTGGAGCTAGAGGACTGTCACAAGTGATGAATCCAATTCTCAATTATGCTCATCATGATTAGTCTCTGATACAGAGTAGCAGAGATTTTCTTTTTGCACCCTATGATAATACTTGACTTTCCCAGTGTTTCCATCCTTATCCTCAAAGACATGAGAAACCCAGGCTTCCAAGAATAGGTATAGTCATCTATCTTACTTTTAGGATGGGGATGGCACCATCAAAAAGATTAGCTCCTCCTAACTTAAGATCTCTACCTATCTAACATGTCTGATGTGAAAATTCAATTTTTCTCTCAACTTGAGAAATACCCTTCTCAAGCATTCTTTGTTTAGCTACTTCCAATTCCACTTTTTGTACATGGAAGAAATTTGTTTCAATCAAACCTCCCCATCAATCTCAACAGGCTGTTTTTCAGCTTCCTCTAAGAAAACCTTACATAGAAGCAAGGAATATGGCAGACACAGTTACTCCCTCAGAAAATTTTCTTTCTTTTCTTTTTTTTGTTCATGCACATGTTTCAGTCTTCAGATTCCATTCACAGACTGCAATTTATCTTCTGGGAAAAGTATGTGGTAGGTCTAGGAATCCAAGAGGGGCTTTATTCTCTAATATATTTATTGCCTAAACTATATTTCTCCTTTTCACTGATATATCTTTCTTTTTTCCTAACCTCTAGATTTGTGACTATGACTGTTATTACTACTAAGCCAGCTCAACTTCATCTGTAAAATCAAAATCATAAAAGTCATGAATGATTAGATCATCATTAGCCTCCTTTCTCTGATACAACGTAGTGAAGATTAAATTAAATTAGAAATTTCTTACATATACTGGTAAGACCATGACTGTCACACAATGGGCTCTCATCATTATTTCCCCAATATCTTTGCTCTATTACTTCTAGAAATTCTATTTACTTAGTTTTCCAAGTAAGGAAAGCATGTAATATTCAACATTGTTTAAAGTTAAAAAATTGAAATTGACTAATAATTTTTGCCACTAAAAAATAAATTGCAGTATAGATAATATTCCTGCTTTGTATCTTATTATGAACAATTTTTTAACTTTTTAAGAGAGTACAGGATTCTCCTAAACTGAAGAGAAGAAAATATAAATGTATTCAAGAACTTGAACAATGTTAAATGATAGAAATAGAAGATGGTGTATTTCTTTTTAGAGAGAGAGAATTTTTTTAATATTTATTTTTTAGTTTTCAGTGGACACAACATCTTTATTTTATTTTTATGTGGTGTTGAGGATCAAACCCAGCACCCCGTTCATGCCAGGCGAGCGTGCTACCGCTTCAGCCACATCCCCAGCCCCAAAGACGGTGTATTTTTGTGTAAGGAGAAACAAAATTGGAAGCACTGCTTAAAAAAGTGGCCCTAATTTCTTAACTCACTCATTTTGAAGACTATCCCCCTCTTTATGATTGCTTTCTCCCATAGAGTTGGGTCCTTATTGCACACCAGGATATGTCACATCCTCTAGATGACTAGTATATACAAGTTATCTTAGAAAGAAACATATTTTTTAAATACCTGTAATTTGGGGATTATTTATTATTATTATTTTAGATTCCCTCATCTGAATATTTTATGTTATCTTGGTTACTTGCTTCACTTTAGAATATCTTCTCCCTAACATAGAAATAAATGGACAGATGACTTCTTGAAAGTGAAGTGTCCTTCACATTCCTTTGTCTCTGACCCTGCTCTGGCAAGGTTTAAGAATTAGGCAGACATGCTTGCTTTCCCTTGATTTCTTTTCTCTAAGGTCATTATACTTATACACCCCCACTCTTTTATACCAATATAATGATAATATATCAAGATTAGGGATAGAACCAGTAAAATG